TGTTTCAAAGCCAAGTTATTTCTTTAATCAGGGCATTAACAACCTGATTGTAAGATGGAAAAGCGTCATTGATAAGAATGGAGACTATTTCATTTAATAAATTTTTTGTTTTGATATATAAGTTGTTCGAGTTTTTTCATCTAAAAAAAAAGCAGCATTAATTTCTTGACAACCTAGTAGTATTTGAATAACACAGTCATAACACAAAACATCTGTTGCAGCAAAACTGCTTAGTACACAACACTAATAAAATCCAATACACAGGAGCAACCTTTATACTTACATAATCCCAGATTAAAAATACATATTTGCAATCACAAATTAAACAATTAGCATGCATGAAAATACTTGTAACTTGAAATTATACAAATAAACTGCCATTTCATGAAAATACATGTAACATATCTCAGATAATTTTCTGGAAAAGTAGGTAGTTACTATAATATATAAACCTTTGTCACTCTCTGTAATCTTTCTCTAAAATCAGGTATTACCTTTCAAAGCAACATACTATTAAGATTAATACAAAGCAATTGCAAAAATTCAGCACGTAAAGCATACTGCACATAAATGATTTGTGCAGTCTACGTTTTACACTTTTGCTTGTGATCAAAATGTGCCCACATTTCATTGTAAAGCAAATCAAAATTTTTGTTGAAACAATTGACATAAGTGCTCTCACACAGATTTTTTTTAAGCTCGATAAGTAAAAGTAATTATGATAACAAGTACCAAGGTCACTACAAATGTTAATATTTTATTAACTACACTAACACTTCTGATACATTTATTGACCAAGAATTGCTGATTTCTTAAAACAGTACTTACTTATTTAGATAGTTGACTTCAGAAAACCAGTCACTAAGTGTACGTCTTGAGTACAAAGGTACCCTCTGGTGTAAAACATGGTAGTAAACATTCTCAAATGTGTATATATTTAGAATGACCTGAAACAATACATTATAAGTTTTCATACATTATACCATAATACTTCATTTGCTGAAATTCATAAAAGTTCCAGAACTGACTGACATATAAGTATGACAAAATGCAACATAGAAAATACAGTAATGGTAAATAATTCGCAAAATTAAAATAGTATATTGGTAAACACAAAAACAACATTTAAGGCAATAGCCCTTCATTGGGTTTCTAGTTAGAATAAGACTGTTAATAGAAGAGTTAGAGTGAAAGAAAAAATTAATGTGTAACATATGGCTCAATAGCTTGAGAACAAGTTCTTAAGCTACAAATGAGCTGAGGAAACTAACATTCAAAAATAACAATAATTAATCAATTATTTGGTATAAAAAAGTAGTATATATATATATAGTAAATAAAGTAATGGAAAAAAGAAAAAGTACAGCAATAGTGTGAGGAAATGAATTCAATGAGAGAATGAACATGTGCATCAAGTAATACTGTTCAAAGGGATACAAAAATAAAAGGTAAGGGAACTTAATAGGAGTGAAGAATCACTGTGAAAAAATCAATATAAAGGTAACAAAAGTGGATGACTAAAAAGATCAAGCTAGAGAGGAAAAGGAGTGCATACATTGAACAAAAATGTGGTGAAAACAAATTTTCAGTGTGAGAAAGTGTAGATCAAGTGTACGGTGGGGAAAAGGAAAGGATAGAGTTAAAGGAAAGAGAACTCTTCATTCCTTCCAAAGGGATTAATAGTGTATAATTTAAAAATCAAACATTTTTCCACGCATTCTCTTTGTGTTACGGTGGATAGAGCAAATATGATTGCAAGCATGGAAAAGTTGGAGATGCAATGTGAATAATTGCTAAAGTATCTACCTTTGGCTTTTGTAGTCTGATTATTTGTTATACAAGAGATACGTACAGCATGACACATCTTGTTACAGATCACACAATATATCAGGCTTGTTGAAATGCAAGTAAATGACTGTTGTATTTCCAAATACTAATATTTGGAAAAAGTGTTTGGATTGTGCTCTTTAGTCATATCCAACTCATTGCATCAAAATGATTCAATGTACAGAGCTCAAAATTTTCATAAATTTTACTGATATAAACTGTAATGTTTTTATATATTAAAAGTGGTTCCATTTATTGGAAAAATAGTTTCTCAGTACTACATTTAAAAATTACATCAATAAAAATATAATCAAACCTTCACATACAGTCCGAGTGAAAATCGTGTTCTTGTTGTGAGGTGAGTACTTTTATTTAAAACTGTGTTTCATTATAAATAAACAGTTGTCACACATACCACAGTTATTTTTCTGTCTGAATATTGAATACCTAAAATTTGAAATATTTTGTAGATTTTTGTTTGTGGTGCCATTCAATAGATGGCACAGGAGTTTTGGTTACATACATAGATAGATACAGACATACAAACAATGTCCATTATAGTAAGATTTATATTCATTTCTTTTCATAGTCTTTCTTCACCCCTATTAAGTTCTCATGTCTATTATCTCTTTGAAGAATATTGTTATGACAGCAGAAGTCATGTGATGCTGGTAACACGTGATGAGTATCTAGAAGGTTCCTGAAGAGGGTACTGTGTTCTAGACACCCTCTATTGTTGTATATAAGTGCGGCAAATAAAGCGAAACAATTAATTGGAATTGGAATAGCAGATAGAGAGATTGAAGATATAGACACAGTTAATTGAGTCAAGTGAGCAGTGGGGACCATAAATAAAGTTTGTGAATCATTGTGAATTATAGCATGTGTTTAAGTTAAAGTGACTGTGGAAATTAAATGTATTGCAATGTTGAATTGAGAAAGAATAAACTAGTTTTATTTAAGAAAGGACTTGTATTGGCTGAAGTTTCTCGGAAAGGATTTCTACGGAAAATTAACAAACGAGAACAGAGACGTAACAATATTACTCGATGAATGCATTAATTCTCTTATCAAATTCATTCCCTCGCATTGTTAACTGTATTGTTCAACTGCTTTCTTTTAGTTTATTTACTATGATTTACTATATATATATATATACGTATACACTACTTTTTTATATACTGAATAATTGATTAATTATTGTTATTTTTGTGTGTTAGTTCCCTTAGCTCAAGCCTTTGAGCCATATGTTACTTTTTTTTTTCTTTCACCCTAACTCTTCTATTAACCCTTCTCAGACGGGTCACAGGTGAAAGGCTATCTCATCTCGTTTGTTGACTTGCATTCGAAATTTTACTGAACTACTATTTCATGAATTTATATATCATATATATTTGGTATCAAACTGTAGATTATAATTCAAATTTTAGTACTATATATTACTCAATTTCTTAATCTAAAAGCAAATATAAAAAAAACACAGATAAACATCAATTTTTGTGTCACGTGGTATGTTGAATGTAGCACTGGTTCACATTAGATGTTTGTTAAGTCAAAATACTAAGTCTATAGTTTCGTACGAATTAGAAATTCAAATTACCGATATTGACAAACTAGAATATAAAATATAAGCCTCTTATCTTTTCAATTTGCTAATACATTTTGCATGTAATAAATCACACACAGTGGCACCCAGCCCACCTTTTTCCATTTTTTGTAAATGCTATTTTATATACACTTACTTCTATATATGACACGAATAACCAATCGAAAGCTCAGAATGTCCCCCTAGTGGCTTTCTAAGCCATTTTAATGGACTTGGCACCATTTCTTTAGTGTGTCTTTAGTCTGCTTGAAATTTCATATTTGTTTATACTAAAATACATCTTAGTTACTAAGCTTTATAAATCATAGTGTAATTCTATGGTATTCATATAGTAATTTATGATTTTTTAGTTAGTAAAGTGTATATATAAAATGTAAAAAAAATAATTTTAATTTCATATCCTCCCCGCGCAAAATTTTTAAAGGCTTAGCAGCCTACGTCATGCAGCAACCCATTACAAAGGTCATAACTAGAAGAGATAATTGTTTGCTTTACTTCTTTAGTTACTGTTCAATGTTTTAAGAAAAATAAGTTTAAGAACTTATTTCAAAATAGCAATAATCTATATACATATATATAAAATATAATAATTGAAATGTGACTGTATTTTACAAAATACTAGTCCACTAAATCACAGCCAAGACAAGTTACTTTGCACAGACCAAAGATCAGTTTTATGTTATTTGATACAGTAACATGAGTGAATGTGAGCCGCATCATTGTAACTTCTGTATTGTTAGCCAGGCATGGCTGAAAGGTCAATATAATAAAAATAATAAATATATATATAAATGTATAACATTTTGAGATTTATGCTATTTCCTCTAAACATTTATGTTTTCGTGTTATAATTTGTGTTCATTCTAGAATGAAAGAGGCATAGTTATATTTATTTCCTAATATTTTATGATGGTTGTGAGATTGGTCAAATCTACCGAACCCATATAGAGATTAATTACTGAAGATAACAGATAAAATATAAAGTTTTTTCTTAAGAAATGTTTGATAACTATCTTTACATTACAAAGATTTAGCATGTGAAATTTCAAAATTTTCTGATGCATAAAAATATTTTTAATTTTAAAATGAATATTACTTTGCATGATGGATAGGCAACATGCGAAAATAAAAAAAAAGACATGAGAAAAACATTTCTTTATAAACCTTAAGACTTAATAAAAAAGTAGATATTTTGCATATGACAATATTGTAATGTTTACTGATAAACTGCCACATTTCGTTAACATTTGCTTACTAATTTAAAAGTTATAGCATGAAAACTGTAACAAGCATAAAATGGTTATGGTGTCCCGTGCTGAAAGAGTTAACAGTTTTATTCTAACTAGAAACCAGATGAACGGCTATTTCCTGAAACGTTGTTTTGTGTTTACCAATAAAATATTTTAATTTGCCAAATTTTAACCATTACTATATTTTCTATTTTGCATTTTGTAATTCCCTCACCCATGCAATTCTTTTATTACTATACATAAATATGACGGTCAATTTACCAACTATACATGCTTAACATACAGACAACAAGGGACATTTCCTCCTTCAAGGCTGTTCCCTCACATTCATCTTTGAGAAACAAAACGTTTAATTCTGTTTATTTTCTGAATAATTATTGTATTTTCTTTTAAAATTCTTGTAAAGTGTAAGCTTCCAACACAGCTGATGGCAAGTCATTCCACAAGCCAATCACACTGTTAGAAAATTAATACTGTCTTAACTGAGACTTATTCTTTCTTTACTTAAGCTTGTATCCTCTCATCCAACTGTCTTCAGAATGTAGCACAAAGAAATTAGAAGCCTTTAGCCTATCAATTGCCTAGATAATCTTGTAAGCTTCCATAAGATCACCACCTACCCTTCTTTTTGCAAGAACAATAAGTTAAGATATCTTAATCTATCTCTGTAAAATAACCTTTCATTCTCCAGAATCATTCTAGTAGCTATCCTCTGAGCCCATTCCAATAAGTCATTATCCTTTCTTAGATAAGGAGACTAAAACTGTACACTATACTATTGATCTGTATAATTTTAACTTGTGATCAATGTGTTTATAAGTACACCTTAAAAATTCTATTAGCTTTACCATAAGCAACAGAATACTGTCTAGATGATCTGAGTGACTTATCCACCAATATGTCAAGATCTGTTTCCACAGTCACATCTATATAAAATGTAGGACCTAAATTATGATAACCCATATGAATTATCCATTTGCTGAACATTATTCGAATTGTAGTATTCATGCATATTACATATTTTCTACCTGCTTTTATCAATATAAGAATTTAAAAAATCTTTTTTTAGTCTGATTCTATGCAGTTTTAACATAAACATGTAGTTCAAAAAACCATGAGTTCTTTTGTTTCATTTATCTTTGTTCCTTTGTTGTTCTCTAGTAGATAGTATCTACTTTGCTTCTGGATATATTGCTGCAGCTTTACACATTGTGCAAAACAGGTCAACAACAGCAATGTCCTTCAGTGGCCAAGTAATGATATT